TCACCGTGTTAGCTAGGACACATCTACCATTTTTAAACCACAGACTTTTCATGCTGTATCTTCCCAGTTCTGCCTTTTTACCTTTTGACCACATTCGTCTTCTTGGCTATGTTACGGCTTCCAAGACACCCTACACTCCCAGTGCTGCCCTTTTAGCTTTTTTTGCCTGTCTTTCCGTCTCTTGCCTGGGCTCCTCTGCACCACATTCATGATGTTGCTCAAGGTTCTCCCTTGACATTTTTCCAGTCTTTCCCTACTCTCTGATCTTAAGGCCTCCAGGCTGTTGACTCCCAAACATTTATCTTAGTATTACATCTCCCTGAGCTTTAGATTTATACATTCAACTGCATGTGACATATTTATATATTCCATAAGCTTCCCCAAATCAGCATGTCCAAAACTGATTAATAACTCCTTATTCCCCAAACTGACTTTTATTTCTCATTTTGTACTGCAAAATCACACCATCCACCTAAGTTTCTCCCCACTTTGCATTGTCCCCCAACATTCAACCAATCAGCAGATCTTGCCACTTTTTTGTCTCTTGTATATTTCTGGCAGCTGTCACCTCTACTTTTATTTCTGTGGTCCCTGGTGGGCTCAAGGATCCATGGCCTCTCACTCAAGGTCTTGTGTGGCTGGCTCCACCACAGGCGCCAGACTCAAGTCTCATAAAGCACATCTTACCTTCTGTGCCCCAGTGGCTTTACCAACCACTTTTATTTCAGCATTCCCACCACACATCTTGTTTCAGTGCCTATTCATTTGCTAATTTCGTTCCTTATGTTGATGTATTAGTTTGCCTAATGCTGCAAAAATACAAACTGACTGGCTTAAACAATGAATGTATCATTCCCAAACAGTTCTGAAGCAAGGATTCACAAAATGAAGGTGTTAGCAGAGTTGTATGAGTCCATTCTTGCACTGCTATAAAGAAATACCTTAAACTGAGTAATTTATCCACACGTCCTCCTCCTATTCATCACCTATTCAAACTTTCCTCCTGCAGCACGGGAGGCCTCAGGAAACTTACAATCATGGAGGAAGGTGAAGGGGAAGCAGGCACGTCTTACATGGCCAGAGCAGGATTAAGAGAGAGAGGTGGGAGGTACCACACACTTTTAAACAATGACATCTCGTGATAACTCACTCACTATACGTAACAAAGGGGATAGCTCTAAATCAAGTAATGAGAACTCCACCTCCATGATCCAGTCACACTCCACCAGACCCCACCTCCAACAGAATTAATTAGACTTGAGATTTGGACAGGTCACATATCCAGATCATCACGATTCCACACCTGCCCCCTCCCAAGAGTGTATGTCCTTCTCAAATTTAAAGGAAAATACAATCATGCTTCCCAACTTGATCCCCTGAAGTCTCTTAACTTATTCCAACGTGCTCAAAGTCCAAATTCCAAAGTGTCATCTGAGTTATAAATAGTCCTTTCCATTTTTGATTCTGTAAAATAAAAAAATTAGTTACTCCCCGGGTACAGTAGGTGCAGGCGTGGTGAAATCTCCATGGCGTAAGCAATGATATCTCAAAGTAATCAAATCAAAACCACAAACCCTTACAATCAAAACCCAACCACAGCAATCCATCCCGCCTCAAAACTCCAAAATAATCTCATTTGGCTGCATATCTCACATTATTGCAGCCACGCTGAGTACAAGGAATGGAGCTCCTGTGGCGTTGCAGGGTTCAGCCTCTGCAGCTGCTCTCAAGAACTGATGTTAAGTGTCTGCAGCTTTTCAGGTAGGTGCAACCTGCTAGTGAATCTATCACTCTGGGGTCTGGAGGATTGTGGCCCTCTGTTCACAGCTCCACTATGTAGTGCCCACTACCCAACCCCCATTTCCTGTCTGTACTGCCCTAGTAGAGGTTCTCCGCAGGCTCTGCCCTGGAGCAAGGCTTCTGCCTGGACATCAGGCTTTTCCCGCCATCCTCTGAAATCCATGCAGGGTTCCCACACCTCGATTCTTGCATTGTGTGCACACGGCTTAACATTATGTAGAAAGCTTCCTGAGCTTACCGGCTTGCACCCTCTGGAGCAGCCACCTGAGCTATAAATGGGTCCTTTAAGACAACAGCTGGGAGCTGGACTGGCTGGGATACGACAGCAGTGTCTGGAGGCTGGGTTGGGCAGTGGGGCCCTGGTCCTGGACTAAAAATACCATTCAGTCCTCCTGAGCCTCTGGGCCTGTGATGGGAGGGGCTGCCACAATGTTAAGTGCCAGCCAAAGCCTTCTCCCCATTGTCCTATCAGCATTTGGCTCCCCTTATGCAAATTTCTGCATCCAGCTTAAATTCATTGCCAGAAAAAGAGGTTCTTCTTTTCTATCCCCACCACGGCCAGGCTGAAAACTTTTCAAATTTTACACTCTTCTTCCCATACCCAAATATAAGTTCAGTTTCAGGTCATTTCTTTACTCACGCTGTGTGCATAGGCTGTTTGGAAGGATTAGGTCACATCTTGAACCCTTTTTTGGTTAGAAATTTTTCTGCAGATATCTAAATCATCACTCAAGTTCCAAGGTCCCACAGATCCTTAGCTCTTTGCTAACATATAAGTGACATTTTCTCCAGTTGCCAATATATTCCTCATCTCTCTCTAAGACCTGGGGCCTCATTGTATATGAGTATTTTGGTCACAGCATTCAATAAGTCACTAGTATGAGTATTTTGGTCACAGCCATTCAATAAGTCACTAGGAAGTTCAAACTTTCCCTCATCTTTCTGTCCTCTTCTGAGCCCTCCATACGCTTCCAACCTCTGCTCATTACCCAATTCCAAGGTTGATTCCGCATTTTCAGGTATTTTTATAGCAATGCACCACTTTAAGTACCAATTTTCTGTATTAGTCTGTTCTCGCACTGGTATAAAGAAATACCCAAGACTGGGTAATTTATAGAGAAAAGGGGTTTAATGGCTCACAGTTTTGCAGGCTGTACGGGAAGCATGATGGCTTCTACTTCTGGTGAGGCCTCAGAAAACTTACAATCATGGCAGAAGACAAGCAGGCATGTCTTAAAACATGGCCAGAGCAGGAGCAAGTGAGAGTCGAGAGGTGCCGCACACAAAAAAAACAGATCATGAGCACTCTCCCACTATAAAACCAGTACTAATGAGGGATGGTGCTAAACCACTCATGAGAACTCTGCCCCCATGATCCAATCACCTCCCACCAGGCCCTATCTCCAACACTGGGAATTACAATCTGACATGATTTTGGGTGGGGACACAGAGCCAAACGATATTAGTGGCCATGCTCATGGTCCAGTTTCTGTGGTTGCAGGCAATGCTTGGTGTTCCCTGGTGTGCAGCTACATAACTCTATTTTCTGCCTCTGTCATCACAGCAGCTTTTCAAAAAAAAAAAAAAAAAAGAAGAAAGAAAAAGAAAAAGAAAAAAGAGGTAAGGAAGATAGAGTTGAATTCATGTAAGGCTCAGGTTTTGTCAGTTATAAGTTAAAGGCAACAGGGCAGAGGTCGGGCGCAGTGGCTTAAGCCTGTAATCCCAGCACTTTGGGAGGCCGAGACGGGCGGATCACGAGGTCAGGAGATCGAGACCATCCTGGCTAACACGGTGAAACCCGTCTCTACTAAAAAAATACAAAAAACTAGCCGGGCGAGGTGGCGGGCGCCTGTAGTCCCAGCTACTCAGGAGGCTGAGGCAGGAGAATGGCGTAAACCCGGGAGGCGGAGCTTGCAGTGAGCTGAGATCCGGCCACTGCACTCCAGCCTGGGTGCCAGAGTGAGACTCCATCTCAAAAAAAAAAAAAAAAGGCAATAGGGCAAAGGAGTTTACAATATTGCCATGATAGTGGCAGAAGATGACGGATCTAAGTTGGATGGAGAGATAAATTAAAAGGTGACTAATGGAACTACTGAGAATTTAAAATCTGGCATATTGGGTTTGACTCTCAAACTTTCCAAAGCACTTTGTATTTATCTGTTTTAATTCAACAGTTTTATCACCAACTATACAGTGTGCTGTGCTACACTGCAGGGGGATGCAGCCGTAAATAAGAAAATCAACACTGATCATTTTGTAGAAAAGCATGAAGACTAGTAATATTCATTTATTTTATCTTTTAGAGATGGGGTCTCAGTCTGTCCCCCAGGCCGGAGTGCAGTGGCACAGTGAGGGCTCACTCCAGCCTTGACCTTCCAGGGTTAAGTGATTCTCCCACCGCAGCCTCCCTAGAAGCTGGGACTACACGCCACCATGACAATTTTTTTGGTACAGACAAGGTCTCCCTATGTTGCCCAGGCTGGTCTCAAACTCCCGGGCTCTAACAATCCTCCCACTTGGGCCTCCCAAAGTGCTGGGATTACAGGCATAACCCACCACACATGGCCAAAACTAGTAACAGTCAATAGAATGATCAGCACAATTAATAAGATCTAGGTACAAGGTAGTTAAGAACATGAGAAAGGATACTTTTCACTTCATGGTAAGACATGGTTATCAGGAACCATTCTTTAAAAACTGCCTTAAATAGCTCTTGAGACAGCTGCAAGTAAAGCTGGGATAAAGAAACCTTTCTGAGTAGCATGAATAGCATAAAAAAGCATAGCAAAAGCCTAATCAGAATATAAGGCTTATGGGAAAACAATGCAAGATAGGGCTGTAAAGATAATTTAAAGCCAAATGAGAGAGAGCCTTAAATGTGGTAAGGAATCTGGACTTCAGTAGGCAGTGGAGAGGCAGTTCAAGTCTATAAACATGATCAATTATGTGCTCTAAGAAGAAACCATTTTGTTTGAGGTGAGGTTCAGGCATCATCTCAAGCTTCTAAAGATGATGATCAGAATCAGATGATTCTAACATGCCAGCAGGGTAGAAAGACACTAGTCTAAGGAAAGCCTATGCATATCTCTCAATCTTTATCAAACAAAATTTGGAAGAAACCACCTATAACTAGCTAGGCTGACCTAGTAAAATCAAAATTTAAAGAGCAGACTATTCCCATAACGAAAGAAATATAGATATTGAATATATACAATTTATTTAATAAATTAATGTCATTCAAAATACAGTGCCAGAACATGATGCAGTTGAACATGCTAGTAATGTTTGTCATGAAGCACCTGTGCTCATGTTAGATTGGCGGCGCCCCACTACTGCTAGTGGTTCCTGGGATTAATGCCAGAGCAGCGCTAGTTATCTGCTCTTCTGCACAGCTAGTGCAGAGAATTCCTGAACAGTTCACCTTACTAATCCTAACCCCCACACGCACACAACAGGTTAAAAAAAACACACCCTGACAGCTAACAGATCTATACACAATCACTCTACAGTAATGCTTGTTATTAAATTAAGATGTAATGACCTGGTTAACCCACTCTAAATCTTGAAGATGGAGAACTACATCAGCAGCAGGTAGTTATATGCATGAGCCAATGTTAACATAATACAGAAAGTGGAGGCTTTTACTGATTAAAGCTCCACGCAGACCCGCACAATGAGGGGCTGGCAATTCTTACTGCAAGCCCAGCAACGTAAAGTCCACACCTGGTAAATGACCAGCTGACTGGAAGACCTGTATTCTAGATAGACAAGTATAAGTTAGTGAAAAGAGAATACATGCACCTAATAGTATAGTTAGACTGATCCTGCAGTCATAGCTTTCCCTGTGTAATACCATAAAATTATGGAAGATCTTCCTCAACTAGAGTATAGGATTTAGACGTTTCTATACCAACATGGACATTAGTGTTAAGTGCAGTTGAATTAATTACACTGAAAACTGTATTCCAGGACTTCAGAACAGAAGCACGGGAATGAAATACACATACTAAAATAACCTCAGCACAATTTGTGATATACCACACTAGGAACAGGAAACTACTTTTATAAATGAACTTTTTGAACTGTACATACACAGGGCTAACAATGTTAGATAATCCAGATTCTTATACTCTCATGATTACACATAAAGTTTCTCAATTATTGAATAATCTATTTCATATTATGGAAGCATATCTTTCTGTAAGACTCACTGATATATATTATACTGATGCAAATATTAAGTAGGGCATAAAAATAAAATTTATCAAAGATAGATTTTTATGTAGTCATATTTAGTTCTTTCATAGCCTCTTTTGTTTAGCAAAGAAAATGACAAAGCACATAACTCAGGCGTGCACTCCCTGAACTTCCCAACTATACAGGTGGTAGTGCGACCATTTCTCCATCCAGTTCAAACTCTTCTGTCCCATCCGTTGAAAAAAGGTAAGTTGGTGGTTTCCATGGAGACTCTTCAAGGCAGGATGGATAGAGTTTCCCCACAGTGCATCGAAAATCTCTCCCCAAGTCCCACAGTACACGTTCAGATATATGCTGCCGCAGAGACCACCGGTCAAGTTCCAGGTCATATTGGTAGGTGACGTATTTAGCTCGCTCATTTAAATGAGTTTCTCGCATAAACACACATAGAGAATTTGAGATCACAACAGCTCTAACACAGGGGTCAGAGTACCTCTTAGCAGGGATGTTGGCTGCCATTTTCCACTCATTTTTATTCACGTCATAAATTTCCACAGTTACTGAAGACCCATCTACAGTGCCAGAGGGGAGTCTTATGCCGGAATTGGTAGCAATATGCAACCCTCCAATATAGAAAATTTTATCACCAAAAGCTGCAGCTGAAGCAAAGGACCTACTAGTCTGTCTCATGGCCATTTCTACCCATGAGTCAGACCTTGGAAAATAACAGTACATGAGGTTCAGTGTCATCACATAAATGCAGTCATGAACCACGACTGCTGCACTCCATTGCCAAGCACAAGGTAAAGGGCTTACCATCGTCCACTCATCTTTCTCAGTGTCGTATCTTTCTACGGTCCTCCGATTAAGTTCTCCACCTACGCTATCTCCTCCAATTGCATAGATATAGCCTTCACAGCAAACCAAAGATGGCTTTATGCGGACAAAAAGCATTGGGGTCTTTGGAAACCAGGTATTTTGCTGTGCATCAAACCAATAAAAGCAATTCACAGTTCTGAAGGCAGTCTGAAGTTTGCTTGTTTTACTGTGATTTGTTTTTGTGTTTTTCAGAGGAACTTGACCCCCTGCTATGTAGATATCATTATCAGGTGTTACAACAGTCCCAACTTTATGCAAATCAGCTGGCGGGCTACATAGCTTGTAAACTTTTTCTGCTTGGGGGCTGTAACAGACAGAAGAGTAAAGACTACAAGGATTTTCTGAAGATGCTTCAATGAAAATCATCATTTCCTCTTTAGTCATCCCAAGTCTTGGTTTGAAAAACTTGGGCATGGACTTATACAGACCTTGAACCACCACTGACTTATCATTGGGTGGCAGACCTTGAAACCAAGCTCTCTGTGTTACTTCTGAAAGTGCATCAATTCTGATTTGGCTAAGAACAGAAGACAAATACTGGGATCGTGATTCTGTGTTATACTCTAGCCACAGCATAGCAGCTTCTCGAACGGTTTCTTCCTTTTCTACATTTAAATTGTCACTACTGAGAATGTCTATCAGTAGGTCATGTGACAGCTGCATGAACGCATCCTGATGATACACAGCAGTGAACTTGTGCTCCACCATTCTTTTAGCACTCTGTTTTAATTCCTCACAACTGAAGAGATCAGCAAAACTCAACAATCGTACACAATTCTCTGCATTTATTTTTTTAATTAAATATTCTCGACAACGTTGTAACACATCTTCTACCTAGAAGGAGAAGGAAAAAAAACAGGCTGATAGGGCCAGGACAGACACATTTTACTTTTATGTAAGACATTAAGTTTATTAATCAGATGCCCACAGTGTTATTTTTATTTTCAGATACACACATCTAGGCTAAGAGATAAGGTCTTCTGGTAGTAATAAAATCAGAAGACTATATAATTTTGCAGTAATTTTTCCTGCTCAGTAGCCTACCTAACTGTTCTATTTAGGAACCAGTAGTACAATAATAGACAGGTTCTTAAAAAACAAAACAGCCTTAAAGAATAGGCAAGGAAATTCATACATAAGTCTTACTTTCCTAGACTTCATATATAATTGAGAGAACTATACGAAAAAATGTAAACAAATCATAGTATACAGAAAATTGTTGTTGTTGAGTAACTGGATTCTGGTTTCCTCAACTTGGACGAGACAGTCACATAAAACCAGCAAATCATGCACAATGAGTAGGAGTAGTTATTTACCATTCTTATCTAGAGAGGTAAGTTATCAAAGCAACACGAAATAGACTTATGTGCAGTTATAAATTACCTATATTTAAATGACCCATCTTAGACACTGTAAGCTTCCTAGATTTGTTTTTTCTTAAGAAGGTAGATCTCAGTTGAATCAGATGTGCTACCTACTATATTTATGCAGCATCACAGTGATTAACTAGAAACTGTTTACACTGAGAAGTCAGGTTGCTTGGATTTAAAACTTCAATTAGCCAATTAAACTACTTATTAGGAAAGAAGTTTCAAATCTCTAAAGTTCAATTTTCTCTTATATAAAATGGAGAAGTAACGGTTATCTACCTCAAATGAACACTGTAAGGATCAGATGAGAATATATGTGAAGTATTAGTACAGCATCTGGTACTGAAACACATGATCACTTCATGTGGTTGATAGTGAAAGTCACATTGGTAGTCACAGAATGCCCCATCTCAGGCTTGCCAGGGAAACAGTCTAAGAGGCAGAGTCCTGTTTTGCATTTGAGCAAGCAGATGTAGTATACGGTTTTCATTAAAATGGCAGAAAAAAACTATAAGGAGCAGTGTCAATATTTACAGTAACAAAGTATGCTGGGATCAGATTTTCTTAAAATTCCTTAATGCCTTAAGAATTCTGAGAAATGCCCGCTTTTAAAAGAAGGACCAATAAAAAATTAGCTGGGTGTGCTGGTGCATGCCTATGATCCCAGCACTTTGGGATTATAGGAAGGAGGATTTATTGAGCCCAGCAATTCAAGATTGCAGTGAGCTATGACCATGCCACTGCACTCCAGCCTGGGCAACAGAACAAGACACGTCTCTAAAAATAAAAAGTAATGACAACTTGCAAGCTATATAAAGACAGTGCTTACAGTAAACATTTCTCCCTTTCAAGTTTGGAATTACTAGTGCAACAGCAAGCTACCCCAGCCTCAATTTCCCCAGAGTTGTGGGTAGAGTAGGACACTAACAATAAGGTTAGTGGTAATAAGGAGTAAAGGTTGGTCATGTGTTGTAACTCACACCTGTAATCCTAGCACTTTGGGAAGCCCAGGTGAGAGAACTGCCTGAGCTCAGGAGTTTGAGACTAGCCTGAGCAACATAAGACGACCTTGTCTCTACAAAAAAATTAAAAAATTAGCCAAGTGTGGTGATGCACGTCTATAGACCCAGCTACTCAGGAGGCTGAGGCTGGGGACAACTTGAGCCCAGGAGATTGAGGCTGCAGTGAGCTGTGATCTCACCACTGTGCTGCAGCCTGGACAACAGATCAAGACCCTGTCACACACACAAAAAAGAAGTAAAAGTTGAGTATCCCTAATTCAAAAATTCAAAATACAAAATGCTCCAAAATGTGAAATACTCTGAGTGCTGACATGACACTCAAAGGAAATACTCACTGAAGTATTTCAGAGTCTAGATTTTTAGATTAGGGATGCTGAACTAGTAAATATAATGCTGCAAATATCCTAAAATCTGAAAAAATCTGAAATCTGAAACTGGCTGAACTGGATTTCTGGTCCCAACCATTTTGGATAAAGGTTTTAATCAACCTATGGAAGACTAAAAAGGAAGGAAACTACATAAAGCGTGAACTGAGTTCTGGTTTCCAGAATTACACCCAGGTGTTGGCATTCAATCAGTGTCATGCATATTCATTCAGTGCATATTTATTAAGTACTTAACAAATATCATGAACAGTGCTCTCCAAATTTAACCTTTGGTCTAAAGGTTTTCCCTTTGAAGAAGCTTTGTGAAATACAACGGTATTCCAAAGCAGGAGATGAAATGAAGAAAAAACTTATATTCCTCTTAAAATTTAAAAAGGGAACATGATGGGGAAATAAAGAGTAAAACAGTTTGTCATCCATAAATATATCAACCATCACTTGTTTTGTTTAAATACTTCTCCTTAATTGCTCAATATGGTCACATAGCCATTATAAATATTTATCATAATTTCCAAGTTTTCTGTGAAAAATAGTATCATGAAAAATTAGTACATCTAAGCTCTAAGCAAAAAAAAAAAAAAAAAAAATCGAAACACTTAAATTTAATAAACACTGTTAAAAATCACTTTAATTTGGCTGGGGGTGGTGGTGGCTCATTTGAGGACAGGAGTTCCAGACCAGCCTGGCCAACATGGCAAAACCCCGACTCTATTAAAAATAGAAAAATTAGCCATGAATGGTGTAATCCCAGCTACTCGGGAGGCTGAGGCAGGAGAATCACTTGAACCCAGGAGACAGAGGTTGTAGTGAACCAAAGATTGTGCCACTGCACTCCAGCCTGGACAAGAGTGAAACTCCGTCTCAAAAACTAATTACTTTAACATGAAATCAAAATTCTCAGGTATGTTAGGCAGTAAAACACACAAAACCAGTATAAAATTTTCACCTATCTCTTTTATTAACAGATTTACATTCCCATCACAAAACTACTTAGTTTACTGGGTAATCAAATCCTACTGTTTTTCCCTTACAGATTTTATTTTAAAAAAAAAAAAACCTTTTACCTTGTAAAATATGTAATAAAAAAGTTACATAGACAAAAGACATTACTGGGCCAGGCATGGTGGTTCAGGTCTGTAATCCCAGGGCTTTGAGAGGTCAATGCAGGAGGATTGCTTGAGCCTGGGATTTTTGAGACCAGCCTGGGCAACACAGTGAGATCCTGTCTCTACAAAAAATAAAAATATTGGCCGGGTGCAGAGGCTCACACCTGTAATCCCAGCACTTTGGGAGGCCAAGGCAGGCAGATTACGAGGTCAGGAGATTGAGACCATTCTGCCTAACACGGTGAAACTCCGTCTCTACTAAAAACATTGGTTAAAAAAATTAAAAATAAATAAATTAATTAATTAAAAATAAATAAATAAATAATTAGCCAGGCATGGTGATGGGCGCCTGTACTCCCAGCTACTCGAGAGGCTGAGGCAGGAGAATGGCATGAACCTAGAAGTGGAGCTTGCACTTGAGCCGAGATCGCGCCACTAGACTCCAGCCTGGGTGACAGAGTGAGACTCCGCCTCAAATAAATAAATAAAAATAAATAAATAAATAAATAAGTAAATAAAAATACTAGCTGGGCATGGTGGTGCACACCTTTAGTCATCCCAGCTACTCAGGAGGCTGAAGCAGGAGGATCACCTGAGACGATGAGTTCAAGGCTTCAGTGAACCATGACTGCCAGTGCACTCCAGCCTGCGTGACCAAACAAGACCTCGTCTCGAAAACATAAATAAATAAGGTTTAACAATGTTTCCTCACAAAATAAACCACATAATAAACCAATAAGCCACAACTCATGTATGTAACTGAGGAAAAAAATGCTTACCTGTAGGCTGAGCACAGTGGCTCACACCTGTAATCTCAGCACTTTGGAAGGCCGAGGTGGGTGGATCACCAGGTCAGGAGTTCAAGACCAGCCCGACCAACATGGTGAAATCCCGTACTAAATATACAAAAATTAGCGCCTGTAATCCCAGCTACTCAGGAGGCTGAGGCAGGAGAATCACTTGAACCTGGGAGGTGGAGGTTACAGTGAGCTGAGATTGTGCCACTGCTCTCCAGCCTGGGCAACAGAGAGAGACTCCGTCTAAAAAAATATCTATATGCTTACCTGTAGGAAGCAAGCTGTTTCATAAAGCTGTTCTACAGTACTGTCATTCATTGCCAAGTTACCCGTGTATGCATAAGTTATTATTATCTGTAAGGTGGCAGCATCCACATTCCTCAGGTGTACATGGGTTTGTTTGCTTTCACTTAGTCCACTCATAAACATGGCCCTACAGGGGAGATGGAGAAAATAAAGTTGTAAGGGTTTTGTGTAAAACAAATGTAGAGCTGAAAAGAACAATTAGACAACAAGAGGTGTTCATTTAGGATATTTACTTATAAGTGAACCTTTTTTTTGTTTTTTGAGACAGGGTCTTGCTCTGTCCCCCAGGCTGGAGTGCAGTGGTGCGATCATGGCTCACCCGCAGCCTCGACCTTCTGGGCTCAAGCGATTCTCCTCAGTCTCCCAAGTAGCTGGGACTACAGGCATGCATCACCACTCCCAGCTATTTTTTTTTTATTTTTAGTAGAGACGAGGCCTCCCTATCTTGCCCAGGCTGGTCTCCAACTCCTGTGCTCAAGCAATCTTCCTACCTCAGCCTCCTAAAGTGCTCGAATTACAGGCATGAGCCACTGTGCCTAGCCAATGAAATTTTTAGGGAGACAGATACGAATAAAATCCAGTCCCAAAGATATACCAGACTATTCCATCATGCCATTTTGAGTGAAAATCTCAAAATTCTATTTACTCCTTATATTCATACCATGAAATAATATTCAGCAATAAAAGGAAACTAAATATTAATATATACTTTAACATAAATGAACCTGAAAACATTATGCTCAGTGAAAGAAGCCATAGAAAAACCATATAGTGTATGAGTCCATTTATATAAAACGTCCAAAAAAAGAAAATATAGAGAGACAGAAGGTAGATTACTAGTTCCTTAGAACTGTAAGAATGGGGTTTGTGACTATAAATAGACACAAAGTGATGAAAATGCTCTAAATTTAGATTGTGGAAATGGTTATATAACTCTGTAAATATACTAAAATTCATTTAATTATACACTTAAAATGGGTAGATTTTGTGGTATGCAAATTACATCTCAATAAAGCTGTTAAAAATTCATTTACTCAAACCATTATCTAAAAATACGCAGGACACTTTCCTAAAAATCTATTATATACAGGAAATCATGATGGAAAGGCAACTGGCATGATGGAGAATACAAAGTAGAATGCCCATATATAGGTAAGAGAACAGGGGAGAAAAGCCTCTACATGTAGCGGTCAACAGTGAGTGTCACAACAGTCACTAACTTGGCCCCTCAAGGACAGAGATGAAGAAGCCATTCAAAATGGATAAAACGGGGTAGAACATAAGAAGCGATTGTTCAACAGGCATAGCTTGAACATAAGGGCTTATGCAGGAAACCAGAAAATGAATTGGAAAAATGGAGGGCAGTCAGATCACAGAGGGCCTTTAAATGAGACAAGAGAGTCTGAGCTTTTCCTTGTAGATAGTGGGGAAAACCAAAGGGTTTCAAGTGTGAATTTAGCACGACAAAATGTAAGTGATATATGTAGGATGAATACTCTAAGCTGACAGGCTATTCAGAGCTAAAGGCTCTGAATAGACAGGAAAACTGGCCATGAGGCTATGACAATAATATACCTAAGAGGTAAGAAACTGAGTTACACTGGCAGAAATGAATACAAAAACCACCATAGCCGGCGCTTGGTGGCTCACACTTGTAATCCCAGCATTTTGGGAGGCCAAGGTGGGCGGATCATCTGAGGCCAGGAGTTTGAGACCAGCCTGGCCAACATGGTGAAACCCCATCTCCACTAAAAAATACAAAAAATTAGCTGCATGTGGTGACAGGTGCCTATAATCCCAGCTACTCAGGACGCTGAGGCAGGAGAATCACTTGAACCTGGGAGGCAGAGGTTGCAGTGAGCCAAGATCGACCCACTGCACTCCAGCCTGGGCGACCAAAGTGAAACTCTGTCTCAAAAAGAAACAAACAAACAAAACCCACTATAAAGAACCAACAGGATCTGGTGATTTTCTTTTTCCTTTTCTTTTTTTGAGACGGAGTCTCACCCTGTCGCCCAGGTTGGAGTGCAGTGGTGGTATCTCGGTTTACTGCAACACCCAACTCCCAGGTTCAGGTGATTCTCCCACCTCAGCATCCCAAGTAGCTGGGATTACAGGCGCCCGCCACCACGCCCGGCTAATTTTTTGTATTTTTAGTAGAGACGGAGTTTCACCATGTTAGTCAGGATGGTTTCAATCTCCTGACCTCGTGATCCACCTACCTCAACCTCCCAAAGTGCTGGGATTACAGGTGTGAGCCACCACGCCCAACCAGAAACAGTAAATACGTAATTTCATAATACTGAAACAGGCTGAAGTACCACAACAGAAGAAGTGCTGAGTAATTCTCAAGCAATTCTCTCATTTTGGGTCTATAATGAACTATACATGTTACCAAAAAATATTAAAACTATTATTCAGGGGTACCTGCTAATTCTTGGTGGGACAGACAGAACTGGTAACTCAAACTACAAAGGAAGAATGTATTTAGTTCAGAAGGCAAAATCTCTAACATTAAAGATGTGTAGGAGCATTACATGTAAAGATCTTGAAATCTACAATTCTGGGATCAGAATCTAGTTGAAGAACACTTGGGAAATATCCTGTGGGTATGAAACTGTCCCGGGCACAAGATTTTAGTGATGGGTGGCTTTAATCCCAAACACATATTGAACTATTTATTTAATAAATATCTGATTTGTTTTAGGGATAATATACAGTTATCCCTTGGTATCTGTGGGGGACTGGTTGGTTAAGAAACTTCCCAGACTTGGCCAGGTACAGTAACTCACACCTGTAATCCCAGCACTTTGGGAGACCGAGGTGGGTGGATCACTTGGGGTCAGGAGTTTGAGACCAGCATGGCCAACATAGTGAAACCCCGTCTCTACTAAAAACACACCAAAAAATTAGCTAGGCATGGTGGTGTGTGCCTGTAATCCCAGCTACTTGGGAGGCTGAGCCACAAGAATCGCTTGAACATGGGAGGCAGAGGTTGCAGTGAGTCGAGATAGCACCACTGCACTCCAGCTTGGGTGACAGACTCTGTCTTTAAAAAAAAAAAAAAAAAAAAAAAAAAAAGATTGTAGGCACAGCAAAGGCAACAACTGGTATTGAGCCTTAGCTTTTGAAATCGTCATGGGATGTGTTAGGGAATGTGAAGTTTCTATATCTTCATATAAAGTAAGTCAGCCCTGAAAGTTCAAATGAAATCTGTCCTGTCTACAGCTGCCATTAAAGAACAGTAGAACAGGCGGTGCGGAGTGGCTCACGCCTGTAATCCCAGCACTTTGGGAGGCCAAGGCGGGCAGATCACGAGGTCAGGAGTTTGAGACCAGCCTGACAAACATGCTGAAACCCCATCTCTACTAAAATTACAAAAATTAGTTGGATGTGGTGGTGCGCACCTGTAATCCCAGCTACTTGGGAGGCTAAGGCAGGAGAATCACTTGAACCCAAGAGGTAGAGGTTGCAGTGAGCTGAGATCGCGCCACTGCACTGCACTCCAGCCTGGATGACAGAGCAAGATCGTCTCAAAAAAAAAAAAAAAAAAAAAAAAGAACAGCAGGACCAAACTCACTAATGATTGCTGCTTATGGCTGTTAATATTTGTAGTAGAAATATACTGGTCCACATTTAATTCACCTTTATTCTTTCTGTCCCTTTCAAATATTAAGTCAAAATTACCTAAAAGCAAAGAACAAATTAAGCAATTTCTATGCTTTGGCTTCTATTCTGCTCGGGAAACGTACAACAAAGATGCAGAAGATCATAAAAATGTAAAGTTAAGCTTTATGTATCTGTATTAGCAAAGAGTAACTAAATTCACTTCTACATTCAGAGGCACAGAGAATACCAACAATGTTACTAGTTATTAAATATTTAAATCTGGCAAAGAGTCTAGTTAGTATAAAGAAATATGACAAATGGTAATAGTAAAGAGTGAGAAAAAATACATTTCGTAAAGTCTTAACATATCTAACAGCACCGATTTCTACTCTCTAAAAATTACTATTTGAGCCTATGATAACTTGTCAGTTTAAAAACAGGGATCACTGTTTTCTAAAGGTAGCATTTTAAAACCTCAAAGTGTAAATTATCCCATTTTTCTTTCTCTTTTAATGGAAAAAGAATATTCTAAACTTTTCTGCCTTCCCAACATTAAAACTTTACCTTAGTTAATTGCAACACGTTTCTTGTATTCAAATCTTTATAAAACTTCTTTCATGTGTCCCTTACACATGCAAGAATGAGATTTGCCAAGTACTACATCATCTGAACAGAAAACTTAAGCAAAACTTAAAAACAAAAATTGAGATGTGGCTTCTTAAAAAATTAAATAACATTTCAAAGAATTTCCATTTAAAACATTAAAAGTACTTACCTGAAATAAGAGCTACATGTTGCAAGAACCATCTTATGACAAGGGAATTCAGTGCCCTCAACAATTAACACTATGTCAGTAAACAACTGCTGTTCATAAAACAGTTTCAACTGTTCCAACAAGGACACAGCATATTCAGTATTGATCTGCCTCTCGTCTTGAGTGGACATGACTGTATTCCATTAATATCTCCAGGAACAGATTTTAAAAGTCCGTCTTACTAATGGAAGGTCAAGTGAATACTTGAGAAATAAAGGAGAAACCACTTGCTGTTATCTGCAGCATTCAGTACCAAGACTGACACATTCACTAATGAGTAGTATCTTGTTACAGACTTAGAATCACTCCTAGGTCATCCTGTATTAATTAGGTTCTTCAGAGTTTTTCAACACAGTCTGCAGACATTGTGCTCAAATCTGCAATTGTGCAGCTCATGAGTGAGAGAGAAAAATACACGAGGTAGATTTTGTGGCAACATCCTATGTTCAGTGGATCCTGTGGAGTCACTAAAAAGAAAAAAAGTTAAGTTGTAGTATCTAGGCCAGTACAGTTTTAGAATATAACGTTTAAAATGGCAGCCTTAAATAGAAATCATGTTTATTTGAAGTTCAACTTTAGACATTACCATAAAAGCGAAACATGACAAAAACGAAGATCCTTAGTCTATATTTAAAATTAAAAAACAGAAGAAAATTACCAGTTGTAATTTCAAGTTAACTTTTGCCTTCTATACAAAATATAACTGTTGAAGAAAATAACGAATACATGAATAAGTACACATTTTTAAAGCTCTTTCAAAATAGATAAATTACCAAAGCCAGATCTCTTATTTGGTAGCAACAAATGATCATAATATATAAGAAAAAATATTTTTTTAAAAAATCTGCTCTCTTACATAGAGATTTCTCATTCTCCGAATATATTTTAAATATGTTCACAAAGTCTTCATATTTAATTTAAATTATACGGTAAATAGATTCAAACTGTTTATTCTCAAATTTGCCATTCAATTCAGTAAGAGAAGTATATGTAATCTGTCTCTTTGAAGAGTGGTTCTTTCCTAGGAATCTTTACGAATAAGAGCATATAATTTTACTTAAAAAAAAAAACATAAAATGTAATGGATATATGTTTCTACCCAGAATACTCCATATTACACAAATACGAATGTTCTCAAAATTAATACGTAAGTTTAATTCAAATCCAATCTAAATCCTATATTCAAAGGATTTATCTGGAAGAAAGCACAAAAGTTGCTAAGATATTTAAAGAAGGCCAAGTTTTTCATGATTCTTATGAAAATATTAAATCTATTATAAAACGCCCATAAACCCAAGTACACATAAGAAACTAGATATGACTGGCCGGGCACGGTGGCTCACGCCTGTAATCCCAGCACTTTGGTAGGCTGAGGTAGGAGGATCACAAGGTCAGGAGTTCGAGACCATCCTGACCAACATGGTGAAATTTCACCTCTATTAAAAATACAAAAATTAGCTGGCTGTGGTAGTGCATGCCTGTAATCCCAGCTACTCGGGAGGTTGAGGCAGGGGAATTGCTTGATCCGGGAGGTGGAGATTGCAATGTGCCAAGATCGCACCACTGCACTCCAACTGGGGCGACACAGCAAGACTCCGTCTCAAAAAAAAAAAAAAAAAAAAAAGAAAGAAAGAAATTAGATATGATAAAGATAAATATGGTATTTCAAATTAGGCTTTAGTCATACTGCATACCATTCATCAAAAAAAAAAAAATTCCAGCTGAATAAAAATTTATTTGGAACTCAGTATTCACAACACATGGCAAAGGAATTACAAATCAGGAAAAGAGGAAAATCCCAAATAGAATGCTACTAATTTGCTAACTATAAAAACTACCACCTCTTTTTTCACCAACTCTTAAGATGACCCTTGGTTACCATAATGAGAAACGACTCCATCATTAGAATCACTAATATTTTTTCTCACAAAATACCATCCATTATGTCAAAGAGAATATCACATATACTTCCTGACAAACTATACTATTACAGTAACTGCTAACTTGATATGCAGTCAAGTTTCCAACCAAGTTAACTGTGAAAGTAACTAAAACAGGTGCAAAGGCAGAGTGAGACTCTGGGTCATTTAAGGTAATAACTTTGCTCTTCCAGAACTGCATGTTACACTATAAATCTGAGTTCTTCTATTATAATCTCTAAGGCAAATAATACTTAAAATCACTGGCTATTTCCACACATTAATAATGCAACAAGGCATAGTGTTGTTGAGGGTGTGGAAAAACAAGCATTCTTACACAGAGGAGTAAGCTGATACATACCCACAATTCCTTATTCAAAACTCTTGACACAAGACACGTTCCAGAATTTAGACTTTTCCAGATTTGATACAGGTATTGTGACACATGTACCCTATATTATAAAAACCTCTCAAGAAGTCTCAGGTAGCAATGGATAATCAAACATATTATCTTTGCTGAGGGAACTAAGAATGGTGTGAAAAATAAAGACTATATATAGCCTCATGTTACTTCAGGTCAGGTTTTACCAGCGAAGTTTTTTTTTGTTTTAACAACTTGATTTTTCAGAGTTTTTTGAATTTTAGAATTGCAAGTATCATAGAAAATATAGTATCTGACACTGGAAATGCTTAATACCAATCTAATATATTAATCCTACTTCTAGAAATATATTTTACAAAAATATATGCATTAATAAAGTAAAAGTCCTAATCCCAGTAGCTGGACTCAAAATTGTCCCCATCCATGTTTAAACAAGGTAACAGCAACTGGTGGCCAGGGCCAAGACAGATTTAAATCATGCCACTAGACCCCAGAACTTCCTGCAGGCTACCTGTACAGGCTCACTCTGGTCATTTCATTAACTACATAATAATATGATCTTCTGCAGTGATTTTGGGGACGCCTCATTTATGACTGGGTTTGGCTAGATTTGATTTTTTATCGTATCCATGAAACCGTATTAAAACAAATGAAGTCTGCTTCTAAAAAATTACAAAGTCATTATACTCATTAACACAGCCTTATTAGATTCCCCTATTTCCCACTCTTCTTTTGTAATTCAGGATACGTTTTCTTCCTGGAGAGGTAGTCTACATAAAAATTACCTTAAAATAGGCAGAAAAAGAAAGTCATTCAGATATGACACTAAGTAAATAAGTGCAATTAAAAATAAATTTAAGGCCTGGAGTGGTGGCTCATGCCTGGAATCCCAGCACTTTGAGAGGTTGAGGTTGGTGGATCACTTGACGTTAGGAGTTCGAGAACAGCCTGGTCAACATGGTGAAACCCCATCTCTACTAAAAACACAAAAAAATTAGCTGGACCTGGTGGCATGTGCTGTAATTCCAGCTACCCAGGAAGCTGAGGACAGGGAATCACTTGAACCTGGCAGACAGAGGTTGCAGTAAGCTGAGATCGCACCACTGCACTCCAGCTTGAGTGACAGAGCGAGACTCTGTCTCAAAAACAAAACAAAACAAAAAATAATGAATAAAATTAAGTAGCTCACCCCTCTGGGAGTATAGACTTCAAAAGGTATTAACTAAAAATGTGAAAGCTTGGCCAGGTGTTGTGACTCACACCTGTAATCCCAGCACTTTGGGAGGCCGAGGAGGGCAGATCACTTGAGGCCTGAGGTCTGGAGTTCATGACCAGCCTGACCAACATAGCAAAATCCTGTCTCTACTAAAACTACAAAAATTAGCCAGTGGCACATGCCCATAATACTAGCTACTCTGGAGGCTGAGGCTGCTTCACGCTGAGAATCACCTGAACCCGGGAGGAGGAGGTTGCAGTGAGCTGAGATCACACCACTGTATTCCAGCCTGGGCAACACAGCAAGATTCTGTCTCACAAAAATAAAAATAAAAACGTGAAAATGTGCAAAGTTTAGGATGATCAACCAACAATCCTCAAATGCCCACAACACAAACATTTTCTGTAAAAGACTCCTTCCCTCCTAAAAACACCTTGAAACCAATACCCTAAATCCTCTGAAGCATTTCCGCATGTACCATATTACCAACTGATGGGACATATTTTACATTTTCTCTTTTCAATAATTACATTTTGTGTATCATTCTATATCTAAAATCAGCATCAAAACGTCACAAACCCTGTTATCTGTGGAAGCTAGCTTCCCCAGATTAATTCTCAGGCATCAAGGAAACTGCTGACTTAATTTTCTTTGCTGAATGAATGGCTACTTAAATTTAATTCCACAAAAGTTTATTCAATACTAAGTGCCAATCATCGCACTTTACATACTCGGATTGAGAGAAGCCAAACACTAAAGCTCCAAAACACCAAGGGCTTTTACTCTTACTACAGATCACAGCCAAAACTACAGCTGTCATTCAAAAACATGGTGTTTTAAAAACCAGCTATTCTAGACAAACTCAAAAGCCAAGAAGCAAGCAAATGAGTGAGGCAAGCTGGGTGTAAGAAACATTTTTCCTGAAATGTAGCTATCTTGATATTTTACTTCCAAACTTTTAATAGAGACATGAGTGGAAGAAATTTTACTCTTCACCATAAGAAAAATTGTAGTACAGGTAAAATGAGCAAAGGTATCTGGTGCTCAGCCCTACTACAGTGGATCACACAGGAGAAAGGAAAAACTTATTGAAGACCTATTTAAACCTTCTGGATTTTAATAATATACGCAATGATTACCTGATTTTTACAAAATAAAAATGCTGCCTGTACTCCCAGCATTTTGGAAGGCCAAGGCGAGAGGGTACCTTGAGGCCAGGAGTTCAAGGAGTTCAAGGCTGCAGTGAGCTCTGATCATGCCACTGCACTCCAGCCTGGGCGATAGCTAGATTCTGCCTCTAAAATAAAAAAAATAAAAAATAAAAAAAAAGGTTGGCCACAGTGGCTCCTGCCTGTAATCCCAGCACTTTGGGAGGCTGAGGTGGGCAGATTACCTGAGGTCAGGAGTTTGAGACCATCCTGGCCAACATGGTGAAACACCATCTCTACTAAAAATACAAAAATTAGCCTGGTGTGATGGTGCGTGCCTGTAATCCCTGCTACTCAGGAGGCTGAGACAGGAGAATCGCTTGAACCCGGGAAGGGGAGGTTGTAGTGAGCCGAGATCGCACCACTGTACTCCAGCCTGGGCAACAAAAGACTGTCTCAAAAACATAAAAGAAATTAGTAATAGTAATAAAACTTCAAAAGGTACACTACTCTCTCTTCTCATAACAAAGACAAAATATTTTAGGCTTTGGGAGTCATAAGGTCTCTATCCCAAAGATTTAACTCTTGCTGCAGCCTGAAAGCAGCCAAAGACAATATGGAAACAATGTTATTTCAATACAACTTTATTTACAAGAACAGGTTACAGGCCACATTTACCAACCTCTGCTTTATTTTTTAAAATTTCTATTTTTATATATATACATATATATACACACACACACAGACACACACACTTTGATTTTTTTTTTAAGAGACAGGATCGCACTATGTTGCCCAGGCTGGTTTTGAACTCCTACGTTCAAGCGATCCACCTGTCTCAGCCTCCCAAAGTGCCAGGATTACAGGCGTGAACCACAGCACCTGGCCTTACACTGCTTCTTGATGAAATATTTAGTTGATGAAATATTTAATCAGTGACTAAAATACATACCTCAAGTTGTTTCTGCAAGAAGCATGTTTCTCTTCAGATCACAAAAACGAGGAAAAGCACAAACTTTAAATTCTTGAATAATGAATTAAATATAATTAATACAATCTGCATAGATTCCACTTTTCTTCTCAACCAAAGTATTCTAACATCTTTTACCTAGTCACACAACTGCTTTCCCCAATTCCTGCTAGTTCCATGGAACTTCTGAAACATGTTCTTATCTAGTGTGAGTAGCCTTTAATTAAGGTTAAAAAAAAAAACAAAAGACATCTCTCCCCAAGATAATCTGTCAAATAAAAATCCATAATGAGAAACAGCTATTCAAAAACACTTAAATTACTTTGGGAAATCCCTGTTACATGCCACAATTCCTGGTATCAGGTGCTTCCAGATTAATAAGAAAGTCCTATATTCTAACACTAATCATTAGAATATATTCCATAGTAAAAAATGCTAACCAGCATAGGAATTAAATCAGTCATGCATAAAATTCAGAATCTATTTAATAAAGTGCAATATACTTTGACATAAAAAGTGTACATATTCTTATTCCTTAAGTCCTGGGCTCAATTCAGTGTTTTTGACTGATTTGCTTGATCACACAGAATGGCAAAGATAAGGCTAAAATGTTATACACAGGATGAAATCCTCTCCTCCACTGTCTACACACTTTTTTTTTTTTTTTTTTTTTTGAGACGGAGTCTTGCTCCGTCATCCAGGTTGGAGTGCAATGGCGTGATCTAGGCTCCTCCACCTCCACCTCACAGGTTCAAGCAATTCTCCTGCCTCAGCCTCCTAAATAGCTGGGATTACAGGCATGCACCACCATGACCGGCTAATTTTTCATATTTTTAGTAGAGATGGGGTTTCATCATGTTGGCCAAGCTGGTCTCAAACTCTTCACCTCAGGCGGTCTCCCTGCCTCAGCCTCCCAAAGTGCTGGGATTATAGGCAGGAGCCACCATGTCCCGCCTCTACCCACTGACTTCTACGAATTATTAGGGGACAAAGTCCTATTTATTTTTAAATCTGAGGACTTCCTACAGAAGTCAAAAATTTATAAACTGATTGAAAACAAATGCTTCTAATACATTTTCTCTAGGACGTCCAAGTCTCCAAGGTTCTACTGAGTGAATTCCACCACATAAAAGTTATGAAACATTGTTACTAAATCATTGTCAGGATTAGATCAGTCAGCAATCGATAGTAACATATAAAATTCTACTTAAAAATCTGAAACTCTTCCCATAGTAAATTATTTCTAGAGATGACTTAAAGTATTGGGAGGATATTGAAAATACTATGGCATTTTGTATCAGAGACCTGAGTGTCCTCCGATTTTCATACCCCAAAGGGATCTAAGAACTAATATTCCACTGAAACCAAGAGACAACTGTGTTTCTATTCAACAAATTTAAGTTGGTTGTCTGAATTCCTCACTTAACTTTCCCATAAAATAACAGTATTAAAAAGAGGTTTAACTCTTCACTGTGAGCAGCAAAATATGACCGAAAGTGTATCAGCAAAGAAAATTTACACAAAGCAAATACTACTTAATACTCATAAAGAGATAACAGTGACAGTGAATTTGTTTTACAGATTCTGATTATTAATATTAAAGGATAAGGAACCAAGATGAAAGGTATGAAATGTTGAAATTTTAAAAAATCCCAAATACTTTAAAGTATCAGAGGTTGATGGCAGTGTTTTGGTTTTTTGAGGGGGGGCGGGGGGTGGGGGGGGCGTGGGGGGATAGATGTCTAATTTCACTTTGAAACCAAGTATTCATTCCTAGAGGTGTGTACTTTGTAGCATCCTCCCACTGAGTAGCCTGGAAACACAAATAGAAGCAAAGCACTTTTCCAATGTTAACCAGGCAGAATATAGAGATCGAGGAATGAATAAAGGATTAAAGAACTATTGAACGTGATAAAGAGACCAATCAGCAATTAACTGAGCTGTGGATGAAAAAGGAAGAAAGGATAAAAAGATGGGAAAGACGCTGCTAGCAAGGCCTGCTACAGTAAGTACAGTAGTAGGTACAAAGTTTCCACTGGACAGGAGTTTTAGTGATCTATTACACAGCATGGTGATCATCGCAGTTAACAATAATATATCGCATATTTCAAAACTGCTAAAGATTCTGAATGTTCTCACCACAAAAAAGTAGATGAGGTAGATAGATGTTAACAGCCTGATTTAATCATTCCTCAACCTGTACATAAGATTGAAACATCACATTGTAGCCCACAAATACATACAATTATTATTTGCCAACTAAAAAATAAAATAAATTATATAGTAGGAATGAAGGACAGATCTCCCCCCAGGAACGGCAGTGCGGCTATAAATAATTCACCTGTAGGAAGCACATTCAAACTGTACATTACTAACTTAGGGATTGCTGCATCTCCCAATGCTACAAATGTTAACAGAGAAGATTAAAAATTTTTGTTGGAAAAGATCCAAGGCATTCTCCATGGAGGTCAACTGTTGAAAAAAAAAAATTGAGTACAAACCCAAACTACTTGGGTTAAAGCTCCAGTTCTGCAACTTAATAGTTCTGCGGCCCTTTGTAAGTTATTTATTCTCTATGCCTCAGTTTGCTCATCTATAAAATGGGGTTAAAAGTAGAACTCTCAAAGAATTGTTCTAGGGTTACATTTCATACTTGGTTCAGTACCTGACACATGGCACTACTACATAAATATTCGAAATTATTTGTATTAACCCACCCACTGGTGAAGCTTTTGTAGCACTTTCCCAACTCCTGGATTCCCCACCTACACCAGGTCTAAAGATTCCAATTTCAGCTGGGCGCGGTGGCTCAAGCCTTTGGGAGGCCAAGACGGGTGGATCACGAGGTCAGGAGATTGAGACCATCCTGGCTAACACAGTGAAACCCCCTCTCTACTAAAAAATACAAAAAACTAGCCAGGCGAGGTGGCGGGCGCCTGTAGTCCCAGGTACTCAGGAGGCTGAGGCAGGAGAATGGCGTAAACCCGGGAGGCGGAGCTTGCAGTGAGCTGAGATGCGGCCACTGCACTCCAGCCTGGGCGACAGAGAGAGATTCCGTCTCAAAAAAAAAAAAAAAAAAAAAAAAAAAAGATTCCAATTTCAAGGTCTCAGCACTCTCTTTTCATTCTGTCTTAACTGGTATTTTACATAAGAGAAATCCAATGTTCTTAGAGAATATTGGGGCTTTTTTGCAAACATTTGACATTTGAAATCTGAATTCAGTGTTCTAAAATAATAAGATTTTTTTTTCTCTTTTTTCCTTTTCTCACACATTATATTTTGATGGTACAAATAATGAAACAAACTAGTGCTTAAAAAAGACTAATCTTGAGAAGGCTGATGTCAGTGTAAAAAACTAAATCAGAGTCCAGGAAGGCACCAGTCATAAAATAAGCCTTTCTTTATTTCAATGAGATAGTTTTCTCCTTAGGAAGGACAAGAGATCGGTGCTAGAAACAGTATGTTTTCAAGTTATCAAAACAACCATGACAGTTGAGAAATGTCTGGAAAAGACCATTTGGTCTTTAGATTGTCAACTGCTATACAAACAGAATTTTCTTGGAGTTGTGACAGGCATCAATTAAAACACAAACCAAAAAAAACCAAAAACCTGGCCTTTTGAAGAATCTATCAAGTTTTAAAAATTTCAGCATACTCGCAGTGAGCCGAGATCGCGCCACTGCACTCCAGCCTGGTGGACAGAGCGAGACTCCGTATCAAAAAAAAAAAGGTTCCCCATAGCCTCACCTACTCTAGTCACATTCAGAGCTTAGGTCTCTTCCTCTGTGTTCTCTCTTTCCAATCACACTGAGAGATGACATGGCTCCATCAGGTTAATTATGCTCAGCACTCTAAGTAAATTCAGGTCACAAGTATAAGCTGTACTATATTATGATTAATAAGTTATTTCACTTTTAAAAAATTAAACAAGAACATAAAGGCAATGCCACCTGTGATACAATAATTATGAGTATAGTATGTCCTTTTATTTTGGATATCACTTTTCCTTTTTCCTCTCAGCTCTGCACAGTGACTTAAGAAAGGTGGGGAAAGGTGGCCAGCGTGATGGCTCACGCCTGTAATCTCAGCACTCTGGGAGGCCCGGGCGGGCGGATCACGAAGTCAGGAGATCAAGACCATCCTGGCTAACTCGGTGAAACCCCGTCTCTACTAAAAATACAAAAATTAGCCGGGTGTGGACTACTCAGGAGGCTGAGGCAGGAGAATGGGGTGAACCCGGGAGGCGGAGCTTGCAGTGAGCCAAGATCACGCCACCGCACTCCAGCCAGGGCAGCCTGAGCGACAGAGGACACTCCTTCTCTTTGGGGGGGAAAAAAAAAATTACTTTAGATCAGCCGGACGCGGTGGCTCACGCCTGTAATCCCAGCACTTTGGGAGGCAGAGGTGGGCGGATCACAAGGTCAGCAGTTCGAGACCAGCCTGACCAACATAGTGAAATCTCGTCTCTACTAAACATACAAAAATTAGCCGGGCCTGGTGGCACACACCTGCAATCCCAGCTACTCAGGAGACTGAGGCAGGAGAATCGCTTGAACCCCGGAGACGGAGGTTGCAGTGAGTTGAGATCGTGACACTGCACTCCAGCCTGGTCAACAGAGCGAGATTCCATCTCAAAAAATATATATATATATTACTTGAGATCAACCTGTCATTTCTAATACTCAGTTATTTAAGTATCATTTGGTCTATTCAAACTCTACAAAACTGAAAACATTAAGCTAACAACTTCAAAATTTTCACTCATATTTTACGACACCAGAACCAATCCTTTTTCCTGGCCTTAGGAAAGTGGGCAAAGAGAAGAGGGGAAGGGAAGGGGGACTCTTTTTTAAATGTGTAACATCTTTGGAAAAACCAATGTATCATTTGGCTTTTAAGACTACATTCAAGTTTCTAAGAATTTACCTTGCACATTTAATGTTCAATGTTTAGGAATGAAAAGCTCAACATTTCTACCAACCAGAAGAAAATCTATGGAGGAGCATGGACATATGTACTGATACCTCTATTCCCTCCCATCTCCTTACATGCCCTGTGAATAACATAAGTTAACAGATTTTATAATGCTTCTTATGGGAGCAAAAAAGGGAGTAGAGTTATAGCACTCATGAAGTCTTCCTACAAGACTATGCAAAGAAAACAGCACTATGTGGAAACGTGTGGACTACAGAGCATGCTCAACAGAAAGGCCACAGCACTCCAGAGTTACTGACAGAAGACCACCTCTTGAGGATTCCAGGCCCCAACCTGAAAGGGCTTCAATAAGCACTAAGCCAACAGAAGATCAAAGGGAAGAAGTAAGCTTAGTTATCAGCCAGATGGAAAGAATAGCAAAATTCCACATCATCGAGATTGGAAAACAACCGACTGGCTTTTCAATTTACTTTAGGTCAGAAAAAACAGTCGGGAAAAAAGTCCTTATCAAAGGTTAACCAAACTAATTCATTCACAATTACAAGGGATCTAAGATCCATACTACTCAAATTCGGCAAAGATGTACAACTCAGAGGGAAGGGGGGGAATCCCTGTTAATTAGTTGCCTCGATAAAAAGAAAATATCCTTTTGGTCAGTGCACAGCGTTGATAGGGTTTCGTTTCTGAATGCCTGAATGCTCAGTGAGCCCGACGTACAGATTCATGTATAAACAACACGTGACCAGTCCGGT